CCCCAAAACCCCAAAACCCCAAAACCCCAAAACCCCAAATGAATTAACAACGCTTGATATATAAATATTATTACTTATTTCAAAGATGAATATTGAAAATGCAACAGATGCACGAGACCTGGTCCTGACATGCTACATCTGTGACGACCAGTACACTGGCGACCGAATAGAGCTGCATATTAAGGAGTGAGAGAACGATTGGAATTATGAAGAAATAGATAAACCTGTTAATGAAAGAATACCTTTGCCCAAGCCCACCCGTGAATTCTTAAAGCTATTTGAGAAAGCCAAGGAGCTTTTTCAGAGCAAAATAGAGTTCTATGACAATGAAAGCTCCAAAGAAGAGACAGATAATGAGACTAGTGAAGAAGACGAAGAGGAAGAAGAGGAAAGTGAGGAAGAACCTGAAGAAATCAGTGAGAAGGAAAATAAACAGGAGAGTAGTGATAAGCCTCCTAAGTTAACACATAACGAGAGTGATAGTAATATAGAGAACTCTTTGATACCATGTCCTAATTGTAAACGAACTTTTTTCGCAGATCGGCTTACTATTCATTTGAAATCTTGTAAGCCAGGAAAGTCTATGGGAGGTACGCAGAGGAAGAAACCTGCATACCAGCCACCCAAATTGAAAAATAAGAAGACTTGGAAACCTCCCAGCGATCATGAATCGGACGAAGAGAAGGTATAACATGATTTCAGCAGACCTTATATTTATCATGTATTTATTTGATTTGAAGCTCATGTCTCAGTCCTTCTTATCAAATCAATAGTTTCGATTTTTATTGTAGTTGAACAAATTTGAAAATTATGGAAAGATATTTGAAATACTTCTGGACTAATTAAAAGTGAAATAATGCATAATGCAATGCTTGTTCACATATATCCCAACTGAATAATTCTAATTTTGACTAAAACTTTGCACATGTTATTCTTAACAAAAATTATAGATTAATCATAATAAAGACGTTGAAGAAAAAGGCTACACCAATTCAAACAAATCAAAAAGAAAAGCTCCTGGGAGATTGACCACATATGATAAATTCGATAAAGAGGGCTTACCATCAGATACAAAGGCAAGCCAAGACCTATCCTCGACGAAAAAGTCTATGAAAAAGCCTAAGGGCCAAAAAGAACTCACAACAAACACTGTTACCACTTTCTCCCGTATGGAAGAAGACCCTGAGCAGAGGAACTCAGAATTCAATGACATCTATGGTGCTGCTGAGGAAGATAGCCGTGTCCCCTGCAAAAACTGCGGGAGGAAATTCAATCCTGACAGACTTCCTATACATCAGAAATCCTGCAACAATATGAAAAAACGAAGTGTGTTTAACAGTCAAAAGAAGAGAGCAGCTGATGGGACAATGGGCATCCCTGGCCAGAAGAAGCAACAGCCTAAAAAGAAAGCAAAGAAGGAACAACCACTAGGAAAAAAAGCTAAGTGGAAAAGAGATCACGAAGATCTAGTAAAAGCTATTAAGATGTCAAGAATGATTAAGAAAGTACAAGATGAAGGAGGAGATATTACGAAGATTCCGGTAGCCCCTCCTTCTAAAAATGAAGATTACGTAGAATGACAGTATTGATATAGAAGATATGCTCCAATGGTTGCTGAAAGACATATCCCAAAATGAAAGACTATGATTAATAGGCCAAAGCCCCCTCCTCATATCTTAAAGAGACTGAAAGAGGAAGAAGAGAGAAAGAAAGCAAAGAAAGCTAAAAGAAAGAAGTTTCATAACCAGACGTATTATAAGGATACCAAAAATATGACTGCAAATAATTTTGTGAAAGATCTTAACCCAGAGACCAAATCTGAATCTCATCACACTCAATATCCGTTTAAGCCAACTCTGAATAAGATAAAGGAAGAGAATGAAGATAATGGTAGGCATCCCCTTCCTAATATCAGCCTAACTTATTTATAGAACAACCTTATGCTTCAGGTAAGAAGCCGCCAAGACATTTGGACTTTCATCCAAAGAGAGGAAAGAGTGTCATCAACAAAGCCATGAACTCTAATGGGTTTTCAAGATCAGGAATCAACAATAGTACTTCTTACCAGAGCAATTTCAATGATGCAGCTTTCTCGACTTCTTCATCTAAGAATTTTCTGAATAGTCCTCATCATTCAACTATTGAAAGCAGGAAGGCAGCTAAGAGAGCAGATAGTTTGGTAGCAAGAAGTGCTACCTACTCTAACGTTCCTTGCCCACATTGAGACAGAAAGTTCTCTCAAGCCGCTGCTGAGAGACATGTTCCGATCTGTCAGTCAATCATTGCAAAGCCGATAGGACTAAGAAAGTCTTCTAGCAAGAGAACTAGTGTCCAACTGCCGCATCTATCGCAAACGAGTTACAAGCAAGGAGGTTTTGAGAGTAGTCTTATGAACAACACCTCGTCAACCTTCCGGTCGACAGAGGGTAAATTCCATAAGAATTTCCAAAATGCTGGCTTGCCTCCAACCCACAAGAGCAGTGCTAAAAGTGCTGGATTAGGCAGGGCCAAGAACAACTTTCAGATAAAAAGAGCCTTCTGTTCATGCTGCGGTGATAAATTTAGAAACAGAGATAAGTTCTGTTCCTCTTGTGGAGAGAAAAGGATTATATAATGGGCTCCTTTCAAACGCAGAGGCTTAAGTAAATAACTAGTCAGTATAAAGCTTCATAGTATATTTTCCTAATTTAAATTATTTCTTAAGACCATGCTGGATAATTTAAAGCTCTGTAGTTCAACTCTCTAAGCCAAGCGAGGGGTTTTGGGGTTTTGGGGTTTTGGGGTTTTGGGG